CATTGGTTTCCAGCTGTCAGTACTGTAATGAATATAACAGCTATTTTACTGTTAGTACTTTCATTTAATTGAACGTGTAAAGAGTGAAGCCGACGTTGTACACTTATGTTCATCGTGTAAAATAAAGTAACAATGTGGGCGAGACAGTCTGCAGAGAATGTTTGAGTAAAGCGCTACTAAATATTTCAGTGTTATAGTGATACATGCCTCTCGTTTGACATTATAAATATCTCTCCATCTCTTTTTTCGAAAAGTACTACGCCATCTTGCTCTAACAACAACAACAACAACAACAATAATAATAATAATAATAATAATAATAATAATAATAATAATAATACCCTAGTTCATGCAGATTGTAATGTATAAACTCAATTCTCTCAGGTCCCAAGCAGAGAGAATTGTGTCTATAACAGAGATCATAGAAAATAATAATAATAAAAATAATAATAATAATAATAATAATGATAAAAATCTCAAAAATGTGGCATATGGGAACATCAACAATCCCTGTTGTAGTTGGAGCCCTAGGATTGGTTGGAAAAGATTCCAGTAGACTAAATGAAAGTATTCGTGGAAGTCCATGCCTCAAAGAGATACAAAAAATTGTTCTGACAAGTAAAACCCACACTTTACGAAGGGCTTTATCTATGTAATTTTTTTTTCTGTTAGTGGAAAGTGTCATGATGTCATTTCTAACAATAGGTCCCTTGGCGGGACCCGGAAAGTAATGTGTAAACGCCAGAAATAAAAGGAAATAAAAGTAATAATAATAATAATAATAATAATTTAGTATAACATATAATGAAAATGCAAAAAAATGTTCTCACGAGTACAGCCTACATATAACGAAGGGCTTTATCCATGTAAAATACGTGTTTTTTGTTATTGCTTTTTTTTATTTGGTCAGTGGAAAATATCATGATGCTATTTCTAAGCTTAGGTTTCTGGGCGGGACCCGAAAAGAAATCAGTACACACCAGAAATCAAAGGAAATAAAAAATAATAATAATAATAATAATAATAATAATAATAATAATAATAATAGCAAACCATCTAAGGTGATCGAAAACACCAAAACAGGATGTTCAAAAACTAAACAGACAGCATCCTTGTGACCACCAAACCAAACCAAACACTACTGTCGTTGGAAAAAATGTCCACTCATCGATTTGGCTCTTCCTCATAAGTATAAGTTCAAAGTCAGCAAAAATAAAAAGCGTAAAAATACATTGGTCTCCGGGTCGAAGTTACTAGAATATGAGGCATTTAGGACACCATTGTTTTCAATTATCATTGATGTGTTGATGTCTATACCAGCGAACATAAACAGCTACATAATGATAATAGGCGCATAGCCTAGTATCCCCAATCGCTTAAGATATTTGCGTTGCTTAGCTCTGCAAATATTTTGCGAAAGGTGCTTTTTTTTTCAGATCCAAATCTTGAAAGTAACACCCATAATTCAAGATCTCCGTTTGCAAATGAAAAACCACACGGAATAATATAATTAATAATAATAATAATAATAATAATAATAAGAAGAAGAAGAAGAAGAAGAAGAAGAAGAAGAACAACAACAACAACAGCAGCAACTTATGGTAAAAGCGCACTTCTAAAATCACGCTCCACTGGCACGAACGAGGCAGTTTGGATGAAAGCAAATGATGAAAGCAAATAGTGAACAATTCAAAGGAAGAAGATTGTCCACTGACAGCTGGCCTAGTCTCTGACCCTAGCGGCTATTTTCTAGTTATGGCAAAATGCTGAACACACTCAAACAGGCTCCAGCCATATCGCTATAATGTTCACAACAGAAAACACCAACAGCTACATTACAGATTGATATGGAAAATTTCACATCTGCAGTGAAGGAACCAATCGACAAAAGATTAAATTCTATATGTGCCATCTTGGCACGTACAGAATTGAATAAGCCACCCGGGAAACGAACTGGCAGCTGAAAGGTATGAGGGTTCTTTAGAATTTGTAGTTTGATGGGATTCATTTAGGGAATATGACAAATGATATAGGCCTAAAATTAGAGGCTACACGAGATCAATCTTTTAAATGAAGACAGGAATGTGAGTCTCCAAGTATACTACTGTGTTCAGGTCGTTTTGAAAGCAAACCAGCAAAACTACATAATTAACTAATAAATTAAAAAATATAATTCAGGATATATATATATATATATATATATATATATATATATATATATATATATATATATATATATATATATATATATATCATCCCATAAGTTCTGTCCGAATTTTAAATAAAGAAAACAAGTGACCAAACGTTACATTTAATTACAGATTCAATCAACAATGTATTTTTCTGATTATCTATGACTTCCTTCCATCTATTAACAATCTTACTAATTCCATTACTGTAAAATTCTTTTGGCTTTGATTCGAAGAACTCACAAATGTCAGTTTTAACCTCTTCCTGTGTTACAAAAGCTGTTTCTTCCAAATGATTCTGTAAGCTACGAAACAAATGGTAGTCTGAAGGAGCAAGATCGGAAGAATAAGGTGGATGAGGAAGTTTCTCCCAACCAAGTTCTTCGATGTTTTGTGACGTGATCCTTGCTATGTGGGTCGAGCATTGTCCTGATTAAACATCACCTCTTTTCGATTCACTAGAGCAGGTCACTTTTACCTCAAATCTTGCTTCAAACGCTCTAATTGCTGACAGTATATTTGAGCATTAATTGCTGCATTAGGTGGTAAGAAATCAAAGTGGATTATTCCTTGGCGATCCCACCAGATTGAAAGAAGAACCTTTTGCCCATGAAGTTCCCTACTCGGCTGTGGCTGGGGTCCTTCCCCTTTACCAAGCCACTGTCTACGACACTTAACATTTCGATAAAAGATCTATTTTTCGTCGCCAGTCACAAGTCTATCCAAAAAAGGTGAAACAATTTGGCGAGAATGGAGAGAAGATCAGATGTCAACTCGGGATTTGAGGTTGTTTTCAGACAATTCATGAGGCACCCATTTTCCAAGTTTAGGAACTTTTCCAAGTTGTTGATGATGACGAACAGTTGTTTGGACTGAGAACCACTGCCAATTCCTCAACTGATAAAGCAGGGTTTTCTTCAAGGGCTGCTTCAAGAAGCTTTTCCTCAAACTCAACTGGACGTTCTTCATCTTCAAGGTGAAATCTCCACCTCTGAGTTTTGCAAACCATCTTCTGCAAGTTCTTTCATTCACACATTCCTCTCCATAAACTGAATGAATGTTTCTAGCCGCTTCGATTGCTGAGTTTCCTTTCTTGAACTCATAAAGCATTATGTGCCTCAAATGATTCTTGGGTACTTTCATGTTAGCAGGGTTTTAATCAAACAAAATTTAATTTTCTCTAAAATAAAATTTTATCAGTTTAAATGCATCTAAACATAAAAATAATGTTCAGCTCCATTAGACATTATAAAATACTCTTTAAATTTCGTTCATTTAAAAAAAAAAGGTAAAATTCGGACAGAACTTATGGGATGACTTGATATATATATATATATATATATATATATATATATATATATATATATATATATGATGAAAAACGGTTCAATCATTAATATTCCATGGTTATAATTTATTACATTGGAATCGTAATAACAATCCAATTCGTCAGACATGCAAATTAAAAAAAAACTCGGAAAATATAACTCCGAGTATAAAAAACAAAATTTTAGTGGAAGTGTATGTGTGGGAGTGGGAAACAAGTGTGAGAGGGAAATGTATGAAAACTCTAGAGAGAGGGTGTAACAGAAGAAAGAAGAACAGGAAGGCCTAAAGGTGAAGGTGGGGATTAAAATTTAACAGAGAGTATTTTTAAAGAAAGGAGTGAGTTAAATAACGGTTGAAATGAGTGAGTAACAGAAAAATATGAATTATTTTTCGATGTATTCTTACTCTGTCATGGACATTGAGTTCTATCTGGATTCTATTCCTTGAAATATATATATATATATATATATATATATATATATATATATATATATATATATATATATATATATATGTATGTATGTATGGTGTGTGTGTAATTATTTTTTTAAAAATAGGATTCCTTCCCTACATAAGAGTTCTCATGTTACAAAAACAAGAACCAAAAACCTCAATATAATTATTAAAATTATATTGAATTAAAGTATGAAGCCCTGTTTCATCCTCAAGCGAAAATTTAAAACTAACCAATCTTGAAATTTAC